GAGGAGACGTCAGAATGCTCCCAAGCCAGAGCATCTGCGATGAGAACGTTAAGGGGGAAGGAGATGGTGACTGAGTGAAGGGGGAAGAGATTCAAGAGGAAAAGAATGAGGAGGGAAAGAGAGCAGCAGGGAGGGAGGGAGGGAGGGAGGGAGGGAGGGAAGGGAGGGAGGGAAGGGAGGGAAGGGAGGGAGGAGTCAGAGGGAGGATGAGAAAGGATCGAGGGAGGTTATTATTACTATGAAACAGGAGAAGCCGAAGAAAGCAGCAAAATGCAGGAAGTTGCTGTGACTGTACAGTTGAAAAAGAGAACTCAGTAATCAGGTAGTGGAGTCAAGAGGAGGAGGTGGTGGTGGTGGGAAGAGGAGGAGAAGGAGGAGGAAGGAGGAGGAGGAGGAGGAGGTGGTGGTGGTGGAGGTAAGAGGTCGAGGTGGAGGAGCAAGAGACAGGAGAGGAGAGAGGAAAGGAGGGGAGCTTACAAGAAGAGAGAGGTAATAGATGAGTCGTGCGATCTAGCAATCGAAATCTCGCCGACAAGCCGCAAGTTACCCACAAAGAAGCCGAACATGAGACATGCTGCGATCGTTTGTCAGAGGAGGAGGAGAAAAGTTGAGGATGAGAGGAGGGGAGAGGAGAGGAGAGGAGAGGAGAGGAGAGGAGAGGAGAGGAGAGGAGAGGAGAGGAGAGGAGAGGAGAGGAGAGGAGAGGAGAGGAGAGGAGAGGAGAGGAGAGGAGAGGGAGAGGACAGAGAGAGGAGGAGAGAAGGGGAGGGGACGAGGAGGATGGAGCGGGAAAGAGGGAGGGTAAGTTACCCCATGCTCCCTGCTGATTGGCACGAGGCCAAAGAACGCCTCCGAGAAAAACGACAGTGATGGGAGGAGCCATGTATGCCATGACCTGAGCGAAGAAGAGGTGAGGAGGGAGGAGGGAGGATGACGAGAAGGAGAAGGAGGAGAAGTAGGCGCAGGTGGAAGGAGTACAAGCAGGAGGGAGGAGGGGAATGAGAGAGGAGGAGGAGGATAAAAAGAAGAAGTAGGAGCAGGAGGTAGGACAGGAGCAGGAGCAGGAGGGAGCAGGAGGGAGCAGGAGGGAGCAGGAGGGAGCAGGAGGGAGAAAGAGGATAAAGAGACCTTATGAGTGTAGATGTACAACCCGGAGGAGAGACTTTGAATGAGAGGAATCCACAAGATGCCGAGGATGGTCATGACAACTGTTGCGACCTGAGAGCGAAGGGTAAGGAAAGAAACGAGGATGTAAAAGAAGGGATGCGGAGGGATCGAAGACAAGTAACATGTCATGACAGCCCTTGCTGGTGGAGGAAACACACCTTGCCAACAAGAACAAGCTCCTTTTCGCTGGCGGACTTGCGGAGGCTGCCATGGAGGAGAGTGAGAAAGGAGAGTTTGAGGGCAAGATAGTATCACTTGCGCCAGACGTCCATTGTGAAGATCGTCGAAGTGCTATGGTTGAACTTCAGAATCGAGTGAAGCAATCAAGAGAGATGAAAGAAAATCACCCTCCTTCCATCCCTCCCTGTCTCCCTCCCCTGACTCTTCCTCCCTCCCTCCCTCCCTCTTCCTCCTTCTCTGTCTCTCTCCCTCCCTCTGTTCATCCATCCATCAACCCACGCTCCCATCCCTCGCTCCTCCCCCTGACTCTCCCTCCCTCCTCCGTCCCTCCGTCCTTCTCCTCCCTCCATTTCTTGACACACCCTGGAGGTCAAACTTGCCATCTCCTTCCCCTCCTCTACCCCCAACTGCTGCTCACCTGTTGAAGACGGAAGCGAGCGAAGACATGAGAGCTGCAAGCATCGCTGCGATCTGTTGCAACGACAAGTTCAGACGCAACAAGATCGTCAGCACATCTTCAGCACCATAAGTCCGAGAAGAGGAGACGGCAGGATGTTGACGACAAGGTAAGGAAATGCCACGTTGTAACCTGCACTCTGATCCAACAGCTCCTTTTGATAGAGTGCTCTGAGGGGTTTGCAGTGAGTGTACAAGAACATGTTGTGCGCGAAAGCTCGCACGGCATCGAACATGATTCATAGGAAACAAGAATTCCTCACAGTGACGAGAACTCGATCACAGCTGAGAGCTACTGCACTTGTATTTCACGTACCTGCAGACTATCCCGGGAATGACCATCATGAAGGGAGGGAGAATCTGAAGGTTGAAACATCACAACCTTGACATGACATGTTCCAACAGTTGTCTCCTCCTCAGCACAGACAAGCGACTTTGTTCGGCACAGAGACTACTTTGCAAGTTAGCCCGCCGCTCCCAGTACCTTGAGGTAGGCTGCAAAAATCGCTCCGGCTCGAGCATGAGCTGGTGATTTGGCGGCGATGACTCGCTGAACAACATTCTGATCCGTGCACCAGTACCTGCTATGGATGAGAAAGGAAGACAACAGAAGGTGAAGCAAAGAAGGAGATGGTAGAGGAGGAGCAGCAGCAGCAAGAGAAGAGGGAGCAGGAACAGGAGCAGGAGCAGGAGCAGGAGCAGGAGCAGGAGCAGGAGCAGGAGCAGGAAGGGCTGGGGTAGAAGTAATGTCGGGATGCAGGGGCTACCAGATGGAGGTGAAAGGCATTCCGAAGAAAACTCCAGTCCATGGGAAGTCTTCATGAGAAGGTGGTTGAAACAAATGTGCGTGCTCTCCTGGGACCTTTGAGGTTCGTTAATGTTCAATCTTCCTCCTCCTCCTCCTCCTCCTCCTCCTCCTCCTCTTCCTCCTCCCTTCTGCTCCTCCTCCTCTTCCCTCTCCGCTTCCTCCTCCTCCTCCTTCTTCTTACCAACACAAACACAAACACCATCGTCATCACGAACATCATATCATCATCGTATCATCGAATCATTATCGTTCTCCTCCTCCTCCCAGAATACGTCCCCTTCCCTTCCTCCTCCTCCTCCTCCCCCTCCTCCTGCCCCTTCATTCCTCCCTCCTTGTCATCCTCCACCCCACTTTTCCCACACCTTCTGCCACATCATGTCGAACCCTCCGACCCTCTGCATGGCGATGAAGAGGAGGACGAGGCCGCCTGCGATCAGGACCACGGTCTGGATCACTTCAGTGTAGATCACTGCCGCCATGCCCCCGGTCGCCGTGTAGATTCCCGTCCCCACCACCAGGCTCACGGCCCCGCTCCACAGGTCCCACCCGACCGTCTGCTGCAGCACGACTGCTCCAGCGTAGAGGGCGACGCTGACCTTGGTGAGTACGTAGAGGAAGAGGAGGAGGCACGCGTAGTAGGTACGCAGCCCGCGCGAGTACCGCCGCTCGAGGAACTCCGGCATGGTGAAGACGCCAGAGCCGATGTAGAGGGGGACGAAGACCCAGCCTAGGAGGAGGATGGCGAAGGGCGACAGCCACTCTCCCCAGGAGACGCACATGCCGACCTTGGCTCCGCTCCCTGCGAGGCCGATGAAATGTTCGGATCCGATGTTGGAAGCGAAGAGTGACGCGCCGACAGCCCAGAACGCTGCTTCCCTTCCCGCCAAGAAGTACCTCTCTGCATGCCCGTCATCGGACGAGCACTGGCTGGACTGCGAGACGAGTTTGGGTCCTGTCGCTCCTCCCCCCTTGTTCCGGTTCTTGTACGCTATACCCAGCCCTATCCCCATGCAGAGGATGAAATATATCCACACCATTGCCCAGTCCCCCAATGCGAGCTGCCCTGCGCTTGTTGTGTCTGCCATGATGTTGTCGGTGAAGGATGCTGGATGCTGGAAGTAGAGCCGGAACTACAAGAGCATGTCGCAAGGCGTTGAACGAGGCAAGGGCGGGAGGGCAAGACAAGGAAAAGGTAAGTCAGCAGCTGTGGTTGGAAAGCGGAGAAGCAAGCAGGTGAGGAGAATATAGAAGAATCCTAGAGGAGAATATTGAGAGAATGAGTAGTGATGGAGAGGGAGAGAGGGAAAGAGCAAGGGAGCAAGGGAGAGGGAGAGGGAGAGGGAGCGAGGGAGAGGGAGAGAGGGAGAGAGAAGGAGAGAGGGAGAGAGAAGGAGAGGGAGGAAGAGGGAGGGAGAGGGAGGGAGGGAGGGAGGGAGAAAGGAATGTTGGGGAGTAATAGTGAGTGTAATGGGGTACTCACATGCGGTAAATAGGGGGTAGTGGTAGTACACGTCCTTTGTGTGTAGACAGGGCCAAGTAAAAAAGCCAACAGATAGGAAAGGAATTCTACGAGAAGAGATGAGAGGAGAGGAGAGGAGAGGAGAGGAGAGGAGAGGAGAGGAGAGGAGAGGAGAGGAGAGGAGGGGAGATGAGATGAGGGGAGATGAGATGAGGGGAGATGAGACGAGACGAGACGAGACGAGACGAGACGAGATGAGATGTGATGTGATGTGATGAGATGAGATGAGATGAGATGTGATGTGATGTGATGAGATGAGATGAGATGAGATGAGATGAGATGAGATGAGATGAGATGAGATGAGATGGGATGGGATGGGATGAGGGGATGGGATGAGGGGAGAAGATGAGTATGATGAGAGGACAGGACCATATGACTGTCCTGCCGTTTGATACAATGCGATGAGTTGAATCATCTGAGTCACAAAGAAAGTCGAGGTTTTGTTGATATCATAAAGATCTTATGATTTCGTGTAGCCTTTGGGAGAAGGCATCCAAAGAGAAATTCTCCTGTACCCTTTTCCTGTCAACAAAGCCCATCATCGTCGTAATAATCACAACAATCATAATCTCAATCTCAATATCATTCATCATCACCATCATTGTCGCACCATCATCATCCAATCATGGTTGTCATCATCATCATCATCATTGTAATCATCATCATCATCGTCGTCGTCGTCATCATCATCATCATCATAATCATCATCATCATTGTAATCATCGTCGTCGTCGTCATCATCATCGAAACAACAGCAAGCTGAGGTCTTCACCTTCCATTCGCCCCCATTTCTCTTGCCCAGCTCCTGTCCTTCAACATTCTGTTCATCCCCGAGGCAAAATCTTCTTCTGTGGCCTCGCACAGAAGCCCCGTCTTCTGCTCAAAATGAGTCAAGAGGCAGAAAATTTAAATGAGGGATGGAGGAGCAGGACGAGGAAGGAGGAGCGAGAAAGGAGGAGCGGAAAGGAAGGAATACTAGGTAAAAGGACGAGAATAGGGAGGAAAGTGAGGACGAGGACGAGGACGGAGAGGACAAGGAGAGAGAGGAGGGGCGAGAGAGGAGGAGGCTGACTTCGTGTAGAACGCTCTCAGTTGGTCCTCCGCTGTTGCATGCGAGGACAGGACGCTGGCTGTACATGGCTTCTATCGGAACCTGCCGACATTCATCAGACGCTTCCCATGGCGTGTCTGAAGCGCACAATGCCGAAATGCTCGTTGGAAGGCGTGTAGATCACTGCGAAGCAATGGCTGCAGGTGGGAGATGAGAGGGAAGGAGGAGGAGAGGGGAGAGGGGAGAGAGGTAGGAAAGGGGAGAGGGGAGGAGGGGAGGAGGGGGGACAAGGACAGAGAGACCTCAGCATGAGGGATCGCTCCTCGTCGCTGAAGCTTGCTTTGAAAATGATCTGGAGAACATGTCATTCGCATCTAGAGAAACGAGGAGGAGGGATGGAGACGGCAAGGCAGCGAGGCAGGAGAGGAGAGTCGTAGGAGAGGACGGAGAGAGCAGGAGAGGAGGGGGAGGAGGAGGAGGGGGGGGGGAGATAGGAAAGGATGAGAGAGGATAATTCGACAGACTTGATCTGAAACAGCAAGGGACTTGCTCAGCCCCTCTAGCTCCCGCTTGTACTCGACCTGCGCCGTCATGGTGAGCGGTGCGGCGATGGGAGAGACGACGAATCTCTTACATTCTCCGTGACTCTCGGGTCGTACCCCCCGGCAATGATTAGTCTCAACTTCCCGAACTCATCCTTGGGCTGATCTCGCTTCAGGCGAGCTGCCAGCAGCCATGCCCTCAACGCAGGCTGGCAAGGTGACAAGAAGTACCAAAAGCCTTTACTGCCAGATCGATGTTCTTCTTGCGCTCGAAACGGTTGATAGACACGAAACACCTTCAGTCGTCTCAGTCGCCAAGGAACGAAAACTCTGCTTGGAGGAGGAGGAGGAGGAGGAGGAGGAGGAGGAGGAGGAGGAGGAGGAGGAGGAGGAGGAGGAGGAACAGCAGCAGCGTACGTGAAGTCGCGCAGAGTCTTGAGCAACGTCCCCGCCTCCTCCGATCTCGTCGACGTCCCGCTCTCGTTCCTCTCGTACGACTTGAGATTGATGCTGGGGTAGAGCACCTACATTCAACGTCAACCTCGAGCCCCAGCTCTCCATCTCGACCTCTGGCGAGATCTTCGCGCTTGCAAATGTCTCGTGGAAGACCTGGGCAGTGTACTTGCTGTTGACCAGGATCTGCAAACACGTGCATGTCGGTATGCACAACAAGAGTGCGATCAGGTAGGATACCCTGTGAGCGAGCAACGTAGTGAACTCCTCGAGCCAGTCGAAAGGCAGGCGGTATAGAGATTTCATCAAACTCCGCCTGCCCTCGTTTCAACCAGCTCCTCTCCGTCGCCCACACCCTCAAGCTCACCGCCCAGAGAGCTTCAGGTCCGGGAAATGGCAGTAGAAGACGATCTTCGATCCTGTGGCGAGGAGGATGGGTACGGGAACCTGGATGAGTACATTTGTCAGATCCCTCGAACAACCACCGGAAGTCACAAGAACCGAGAGCTGATCGACGATGATCACATCATAGTGCGATTGTGTCAGCAGGATGACCTGCAAGGAATCTGCATAAGAGACAAACGCAATGTTTTTCTCTATGGTCCTGTGGACAAGCAATCTCTCACGATGGCTAGATAAATCCCTCGGAGCGTTGCAAACAGGATGTGAAACCTTCCGAGGAGGTGCCGAGGGAGAAAGTCCCCAAACACCTGATGAAGGTGACAAGAGGAAACAGCGAATCTTCGACACGGCTACCTCCACGTTCAACGTGCCATCCCTTGTTTCTTGGAAGCAGTGGTTCTTGTCGTGATGTGAGGTGTACATCACGACACTGTGGCCCTTGTTTTGCAAACCAACAGCAGCATCGACCACCTGCAACCCTACCTCAACTTCCCCTCCTCTTCTACCTCTCACCCTCCTACTCCTCTCATTCACAATGCTCAATCATTTTCAGGACTTTCTTCTCAGAACCCCCACGGTCGCTTCCACATCACCCATCCTACTCTTGACTGGACAAGACAACACCAGAATCATGATCATACCAGCCGTTCAGCTCCTCCTATCCCAAGATCCGGATGCACAAACGCAACCTTCTTGCTCCCCGACGGCTGCTTTCCACGTTCCCCTGGACAAGGGCCAAAGTCAACTTTCCCTCCCCATCCCCTCCTCCCCTAGCTGACTGAGCAGAGGTCGATGTCGCAGGCTCATCCCATCCTCACCTCCTCTGCTTCTCCTCATCCCCCACATCGCTGCCATCCCGCATGCTGCCGCCACGAGCGCCCCGATCCACCATCCAGCGTCTGCCATGTCGCCCAGCCGCCGGGTCAATACTCTTTAGGGTCGCTAATTATTTTTCGAAAACTTATTGTGGGGTGGGTAAATCATTATTAGTATCACGGAATTAATATTTAGAGGACCACTACTGGGAATGACTATCATGATTTTAATCAGATCTGTACAGAAGAGGAAAAGAATACTAACTACACTAACTGATCGTATGGCACATCATAGTACACAACGGCGACATCCCGGCGGCATCTCTACTGGCATAGGGTGTTGCGGAAGTTCACGTACTCCTTGTGCAGGAGCTTCTTGATAGCGTGCATCTCCTCCAGCAGCACCTGCCAATGACGGCGTCAGTAACTCCCCTGACCTCCGAGGACCGTCCCGAGCTCCTCTCCCACCTGGATCTCACAGATGTGCTTCCGAAGCCCTGCCGTCTGCCCCCACTCCCTCACTGGCACGAGGCTACAAGTTTGATTCATCTCGTCTCGCGTCCATCCCACCTTCAGCCCCCATCGCGTCAGCTCTCGTGTACCCAGCCCTGCTCCTCCTACCTCCACACAGACGCAGAGGTCTCTGTATCCTCCACTGATGCTCGCCTTGTACGAGGGATCGTACCTAACAGGAGTGTGTAAGGTGCAACGCGTTTGCCTCACTCTCCCTCCCCTCCTTACCGATTCTTAATGCTCGTGATGCTCATGAAGATGTCTCCTCTCATTGCGTCCCTCCCCGCCTGCCTTCTCCGTCACTCCCTCCGTACCTCCTCCTCCTCTGCCCACCTCTATGTCCTCTGACGTCACCCGCGACGACCCAGGCTTGTCCCTACCGTTCACCTCGAAGCCAACCACAGATTGTTCGCGCAGGAAAGTCACCCACGCAAGAACTTCATCGATGGACTGCACTACTACCGTGCACCTCACGAGGTCGGTCAAGCAGGAGGGGTCCCGCTGGTACGACCTGACGGTCTTCTGCATCGCTCGCGAGCAGGACTTGACGTTCCCGTGCTCGACTCTGCCCACCTGATTCCAACTAGACACCCACAGCTGGAACTGAGCACTGATCTCCTGCGCCTGCAGGAACAGTCGCTCGAAGTCGCTGCTCTCCTGCCGGATTTTATCGTTGCGACTCGAGTATCGCGATCTCCGCATGCCCAGCATCACACTCAGGTATAGAGTCCAAGTCTTGGTGCCCCCTTTGATCACCTCGTTCAGCTCTTGAGATATGGATCGGACTCGCTGGTTGATTTCTTCTATTGCCTGTGTATTTTGTTCCCTCACCGTCTCCCAGCTCTCATCGAAGCTTTTCATAGCCGCCGTCAGCTCCATGAAAGTCTTCCTGTACTGCTTGCGAAACTGGAGGACTATGATGAAGGCAACGACGAAGCATCCCAACCCGAGAGCGAGGAATAACATCCTGAACCATCCTTCAATGTCGACAAATGAAAAGAGACAGAAAGCGCCTTGGAGGAAGAAAGCTGCTATCCAGAAGTAGTGCTGAACAAAATGCGCAAGGTACATTGCGAACGCAACGAAGATCACAGTCACTATGTGCGAAGTCCCGCTACAATACGATCCTATCCCCGTCCCCTGAGTGGAGCATTGCACGAAATCCGACAGGGCGCAGAACAAATTCCCAACAATCACCAGGTGCCCTGTAAAGAGAAGGAGCCACTTGGCCCGCAGTGGAGTGTTGACAATCCCGATGACTATGCCCGAGAGAAAGAGGAAGCTCCAGTAGAAGCTGATGATTGGGTCTGCTATCACCGATATCTTCACAGTTCGAGGCTCTACAGGCGTCGTCGAGTTTGCTTCCGGTAGCCAAATGCTTTCTGTCCACACTGACATAAGCTGTTTGATACCAAACACCAGGTACACTGTGCTCAGGAAAGTAATGCAGACTCTCGCAGGAAGTTTCACCAAGGCTGTCTCGAGTGAGTTGCTGGTGCGGAGAGCCAGCACTCCGTTCACGTCCGTATCTCTGTACTGCCTGAGCCGCTCGTTCAAGGGTCGAAATCGCTTGTCCCTCTTGTGCTCGGAGGCAAGCATCTGCAGCGTTTTGATCGAATCCTCATCGTGCCGAGACATCACTGTGACAACCTCGTCGCAGGATCTGAACACCACGTTGCACTCCTTCTTCAAGGAAACATTGTGCCCCAGGCTCGACAGCCTCTCAAAAGACTCGATGCCTCGCAGCGCAAAGTACTCATTGAACTGTTCGTGGACTCCCAGCTCCCGCAGCACCTGCAGGACTTCGATCCCTCGGGGGTTGTGGTTGGAGAACTCCCACAGCTTCCGCTCGATGTGCTTGTTCACGATGCTTACAAGACAGTCTGTAATCAGCTCTGCAGCCTCGACGGCACCCTTCTCCACCTCCCCGTCCGGCATCACGTACATGGCACACGTCCCCTTGTTCCCCCCCACCATCGGTGCCTCCTCGCACCATCCCGCTGGAAGGAGGAGCAACACCGCATCTTGCACAGAGATCTTGAGAAGAAATTCGAGGATCCTCTCCCTTTCCTTGCGAACTCCTCCCTGCTGCAGCAGTGAGCACGCCCGCTCGCAACTTAGCAGAGAAGGCTTCTTGCTCAACTGGCGGCACGCGTCCATCATCGAGCATTGCCCCCCTGACTCATCTTGCAGGATCGAGAACACCGTCTTCAGTCTGCCAACGCTGTTATGCAGCAAGTAGATGGCTACCAACGCGTACACCACGAAGTCACTCTCTACATCGCTCTCCTCGTTGATTCGTGCAAGCTCGTTCAGAACGCTGTGATCCCTTCCCCATGTAATAATGGGCACAAAGATGGAGCTGTTCCTCAAGTACTTTGCTTTGGATACTCTCGACTCTCCCGCAAAGGAGCCAGGCACGCAGTCCATGTCAAGATAAGTTGCCTCGGGGTAGATCTTGAAAACACTCTTGGACTCGGACGATTGGATTTGGTGGATGCTGTGATGTAGGAGCTCAGGAAACGGATCAGCTTCCTGTACAACATCGCCGGAAACTTCGTTTTGTTGTGATGGATGCAATCTCGTTACAAAGATATGCATCTTCCCTATTGAGAACATCAGCAACAACTTCTGCTTTCCTGCACGTTTGGCATCATTCGAAGAGTTGCCCCATCGTCGGCTCTCAGAGGAGGCAGTGATCGACCAGCAACAAGGAAGATGTTGATGACATGCTGATCTCGACGGTGATCTAGATCTGCATGGTGATCTCGACGTTGATCTAGATCTCCATGCTCTGTTCAACACAGTCGCTGCATCTCATGCCTCGTTCTCAGTACCCACCCCGTGTCCAAAAGCCTTCTCAACATTCCCCTGAGTAAAGTGAGCGCTACCCACCCCCTTTTTTGTGATCCCCACTTCTGACCTCGAAGTACCCCCTGTCTCCCTAACGACCCTTGCTGCATATCTTGTAGCCCAAGGCCGAGTTTTTCATCTTCGTGACCGCTTCGTGACTCGGTACCGAATCTGGAATTTGAATGATGCTGAAATTCTTTCTCTGTGATTTTGAAACTGTCGACATGTATTCTGAATATTTGTGCATCCATGACTGAGGCGGGCTCCGACACCATATTTCCGGTCATCCGATATAAAACATAGTTTTATACGGAGCTCCGAATAATGTTTTATCCGAAATGGCTGGTACTATCAAAACCTCAGTACCTTTTATTTTATTTTAGTGACCGAATTCCCCGAGTTCCGAATAGTGTCTTGTAACGGCGTGGCGGCAATAAATTCATCGTGACAGTCACTCGATTACTCAAGTTTTAAAGAGTCGATAGGCTGACTCATCAGTCACCGGACGGTACGGTCGCAATGACGTCGCTCAGCCGGAGGCTTCACCGGGCCCGCCGGATCGCAAGGCTGCCCACCGTGGCACTGCGGCAGCCTCGACAGCAGTCACTCCAGTTACTGTGTGGTTCTCGCTGGCCTGTGCGCCGGACAGCGGACGGTCAGGGTCAAGCCTCAGTCCTCGACTCGTACTGTAAACCAGGTTAAACTTGATCAGTACGAGGAAAACTCACGGCGAGAAACCTGGCAGATCGGGCACAACAAAGTTGCAGCGGTCGGAGCCTGGTTAGACAAACTTGGGCCGTCCGCCGCCGTCGTCACGGCACTCGGACTCCGAGGCTCCGGGCCCGGGAGTCAGTACTTTGAGTAAAGGCCCTGTGAACTTCTTAGGAGTCTCTCAGTGCTCACAGGCTTCTTTACTCACAGGCTGTGCTTGACCGTTATATCCGTTATTAGCAGTTACCTCTCCCGTTAACACCTTTTGATGGATGAAGTGACGGAGATGCTGGCTATGCGCTCAGGGGACTGTCGGAGCCTCAGGGGCTACTGGATGTGACGGAGGAGAGGAGAGGAGAGGAGAGGAGAGGAGAGGAGAGGAGACGAGACGAGACGATAGGAGAAGAGAGGAGAGGAGAGGAGCCTGAGGAGAGGAGACGAGGGTGAGGTGATAGGGAGAACACGTTTTGTCACCATGACCAGGCAAGGAGTGAAAGTGCCATTGTTCTTCCTCGCCTTTTTTATCCTTGTCTCGAGCTCGAGCTCTGTCTCTTCTCCTGCGAGTTGGAACACAATCACCGTGAATGGCGTCGAGAGCTTTGTTCCAAGTGTGTTGTCCACGGGGAGCTCAAAGATAGAAGTGTACGGCACGGGCTTCATACCGGTGGCAGGTGACTACGAGTGCGTGTTCCGGACAGACTTGACAATCTGTTCCTCACTTCCACTGCCTCCGAGCACTCGCTGCGGTGAAGCTGAAGTCAGGAGGCAGCCAGCGAAAGTCGAATCAAGCACACTGCTCTCCTGCGACTCACCTCACCATTGGGACCTGTCGTCAATGCTCGTGAGGTTCTCAGTGGAAAAGGCACGCACAGCCCTTCGTCCTCAGTTCTTCGCCTTGCTGTACATGGAAGCAGGGATGTCGTCTGCTTCCCCGACCTACGTCGGAGTCTCAGGGCAGTACGATGGTGTCCCTGAGGTCATGAAGGTGCGAGGACGAGGTTTTGACGCGTA